TGTGCAGTAACATGCTCGGTATTGTGAAACTAAAGGGTAATACCTCTAACTTAAGGGGGTAATACCTCTAACTAAAGGGGGTAATACCTCTAACTAAAGGGTAATACCTCTAACTAAAGGGTAATACCTCTAACTAAAGGGTAATACCTCTAACTAAAGGGTAATACCTCGAACTAAAGGGTAATACCTCGAACTAAAGGGTAATACCTCTAACTAAAGGGTAATACCTCGAACTAAAAGGTAATACCTCGAACTAAAGGGTAATACCTCGAACTAAAGGGTAATACCTCGAACTAAAGGGTAATACCTCAAACTAAAGGGTAATACCTCTAACTAAAGGGTAATACCTCTAACTAAAGGGTAATACCTCGAACTAAAGGGTAATACCTCGAACTAAAGGGTAATACCTCTAACTCCAGAATTACATAGAGATGCGTGCACAGTTCCATGATATGGCCAATTGTGTTACAAAATCACATCTATGCATATTGGAAGGTATTCCAACTGATGCCTTTCTCAAGGTACCCATTTCATGAACAATATTTCTAACAATGACTACATGTATGTCCTGAAAACAGTCTTGGCACAAAAGCACATGTCTCTACCATTCACCTGTTTGTCTACATTCAAGGAAAAAATAATAAAATGATTGAAATAAAATTACCTGTTTGTTAAATCCATGTCTTTCTTCAATAACAAAAGTACTATAAAGACTCCAGGGTAAATCAGTTATAGTGCTGAATATCATACTCAGAAAAATAAACATTAACGACTGCATAATCTGAAATTATACATCATAAACATTGTTATACATTCACCAGCTAATTATTGATTACTGAATGAAACAATAAGATAGGGAGTTGCAAGTCAAGCAGGGCCCCTTAAGCAACCAAGCTGCCAAAACTAGCTTGAAGGATTTCAGTGTTTTATTTCAGAGCTGATAGTAAATTGTACGTAAACAAATAAAATATTTTACAAATATTCATTGTTCTCCCCACAAATTTAAACCACTGTGACGATAAAAACTGAATATACCAGTAATCGTATGAATTATCTGGGAGTGAACTCCAGGATTGAGAGGACATCAAATTTCAAGGTCATAAATTTGTCAAATTATATAAGAATAACATAGTACAATGTAAATATAAAAGACACCAATGTAAACATATTGGGCACAAAGACAATTGCGTCTGTTAAATTCAAGTTCTGAATTAAATTTGTAGTCTTTTTCTAAACTGCAGTCAAATGACATGACGATTTTAATAATTTATCGGGAGTGCATGCATCCTCCAACATCAACATTTTATGAAAGGTGCTGCTTATACTGAAATTTTCAAAAAATCAAGAAATCAGACATACCTCATATTCGGGACCATAACCAAAATAAGCAGTACAGTTACCGGCCGCATTCCAAAGAAATGGGATACCACCCAATATTAAAATTAACGTCATCTCAATCTGAGAGAAGAGCCCAACCCAGAACCCAAAATTACTCTTTTCAAGTTGGTAAAGTCTGGCTTTATCAAAAGTCTCATGATCAAGTATGGTGTATATCTCAGCAGGAACTTTGGTAAACGTCTTGTATATCGCCCTCTGTGAACAGACAATGTGAAATAAAGATTTTTGAATATATGCAACCTATATCAATGTGTCTGGTACCCAGGTTTCTGCAGTTTTAGAATCTTTGATTGGCCTATGTGCGCACTCTGTTACAAACATCGCAGTTGCTGAAACTGAAGCAAAGAAATATTGCACAAAGGACCGCGATACAATACATTTCGTCCCCGGTCTTCGTCCAGTACACACATACACACACACATTAAAACAATGCTGCGTATCGTGTTGTTCACATTACACAGATACAACTATAAACTTGTCCAAACGATTACATCGCACACAAAGCGTCAGAGCGACTAAAGTCAAGCCATGTCAGCGTTTATTTTATGATACATGGTGTATGCATATCGCCGACGGACGGATCTTACCTGTCGATAGGCTAAGTAAGTCTCCCATACGTAGACCAGCCAGAAGAATACTAATACAGCGTTCAATATATCTACAGTCTCAAACATTATGGTGTCCAGATGACATATATATCAGCAACAGATTCAGACAGACATATGCGGAAAGACGAGGAAGCATGGGTCATATGTTTGTTTTCAGTTTCTACTTCCACTGCAAATATATAGCGCCATCATAAGAGTGAGATAGTAAAGCTTTTGTTTTTATTTTGTTCTTCATGTCTCTGACAAATCTGTTTCGTTCACATTTTTACTCGACGGAAAATTGAATTTCTCTAACTTTATAACATTCACAATAGTTTGTCATTTTTCGGGAGAAACATAACTCTACTGTCTCAAGCTCAAGATTGCCATTACATACCTCGTCTCAGCCTTGCTTCCCGAACCATGTCCGACATTTTGTGATAACTGACCAAGAGGCTATTGGCAGAATATGTTACCATTTACAGTGTTTACCTTACCGTTGATTACCTTGATAAACCTTGGCCTGGATGTCTTTTTACGATTTTGAATTCCGATGCGCTCCGAAACGATCATGGTGAGTAAGACTGTGTTATGTCAACCGACTTTTTGACACTAGAAGAAGAGAGAAACAAATATTTGCGCAGCGATCATTTTATATTTATTTTTATATCTCTATTCTAGAAACTATTGACATACAAATGTGATTTTGCTGTGAGTGGTAAGGGAGCATCGTGGTCGCATTACATTGTGGGAGTCACCCCGGGGGGGGGGTCATCGTACCCGGAATGTTCTTTTTATAGTGCAATATCAGTACACTACATCTACAATACGGATTGATACATATGAGTGTGCTTTTCCTGTTTTGTATTCAACGAGATATTTGTAGTATGGGACTAGCTTTGTGCTGTATACTTCGACAGATGACCAACTATTAACCAAAATGGACAAACAGGTTATGAACTCTTACTGTGCATTCTTTCTGCTCCATATTATCTCCGCCAGAATTCACCAAATATGGTGCCACCTGGTACATCGACATAGTACTTATTATTCACAACGTACAACACTTTCAGAAATAGAAACATGTTTACGGACTGTTACCAGCTTTGGATACTCTCGTACGAGGACATTTTTTTTATGGAGAATAGAATAGAATCTTTATTGCTAACATACCCCATATTTGAGGTTTTAATGTAAAGTACAATGAAGTAAAACATCCGGAAAACATAAAAAAAATACACTAACGATACAGGAAAAAATGAAACAAGATTTGTATTTTCTGAAGCAGCTGGTTTAGGCATTTCACTTTTAATTGAATTTTCTTGTATATTAAAACAGTTATAGATGTGTTTCACCACATCATTTATAATGTTTTCATCCTTATTGTTTAAAATATTAATTGATAACTGTTTTTGTTGTCACGAATAATGTTGTGTGTTTTGAACAAACTTTATCTTTCTTTAGCGTATAGTTGACATAACAGCAAAAAGTGTTGCTCATTTTCAATTGTCCTGATGTTTTATTACTTTGGTATAATATTGATTGTGAGTTCTCGCGAGACGCGCAATACAACTACTATACCAACAGTATGTCAATTACAGTGATATTTGCATATCGGCGGGTTTGCTTAGCCAATCTAAGTACATTGCGAATACCACGTGACCATGACCCTTTTAAAAGACGGGAGATTTCATTTGAGGTCGTAGTCGGTCGGGCGTCTTGGTTATTCGTTGTTGTCCAACCATGTATCTCCAGGCGTAGCCGTGAGGCCGTCACATAGCAACCAACTTATGTCAACATATTGTACTGTATCTACCCGATTGAAACCTTCACAATAAATGACGTGTGTTATAACTACAAACACTGGCATATCGCGTGTCCTAAACGATTCCCTCAACAAGAGCACAAACAAAACAACTCTTACAACTTTGTGACGGGACTACCACTAAAAACACGATATGAAGAGCCGAGAGTATTTCAAACAACGTTCTCTTCGCACTAAAGTCACCAGGGCCATGACAATTTCATTTGAAACTAGTTTATCTCACAGTCGGCGGACTAACATGTTGTTTCGTTGTGTTACATGTATTCTCAGATCATTCATAAACTCTGTAAAATATTGGATGGTCTGAATTTTGCATGGGTGAATTGCAGTAAATATCTAATAAACTTTAAAGTTTCAGAATTGTATGCTTGCGATTGTTTCGAATTCTTGTTTGATTGTGTATACAAAGGTATGACACACGTGAATTCGCAGTAATTTTTTTCCCATGTGGCTACATTGATATATGTGAATTATTGACTGAATTGGAACTTCCAAGCTTCTTCATCTGACATATTCTGCACCACAATTGCGGTGTGCGATACCACTACTTACTGTCAAAATTTAAAATATTGCAAGATATGGTGTTATAACATGTCTTGCTTTCTCATTTAAAGAAGCTGGGTCATGTGACTCGCTTTACCACATTATAAGTTGACAGTGATGCAAATCGCATGACAGTGTTAATTAGTTTATTATGTACAATCATGAAGCTAATGTCTCATGGTAAATTGAAATAGCTTTATGTTGTGTTACGGTTAAGTATTTAGAGAAACTTGTAATAATATTTCTTGAAAATTGATATTTCTAGAACAATTTTATAGAACACAATATTAGGGAAAAATTGCATTGCTTGACACTGTTTAAATCCCAGATTTTTGAAATAATTGAAGACAACAAAAAGTACACATCATTAACAATATATGATTTTTTTCAGCCTATATCACCAGGCTAGATTTTGAGATATGGCATAATATCTCTGCTATAGGAACCTCAACATACACACCTTGTTACCTTTGGTTCGTTTTAGGTTGTTGGACCCGATAATGTATTAATTACCGTTAATGTAACCGGATTAAATCGATATTGTAATAAAATCGATAATGCACAAAAAATAACCACAGCACAAATAAAAAGTTTGCACAACTACGCACTTTGAGTTAATGGTACGTATTAGTTAAATAAGGCAAATGCTTATACATGTATCACACTGATTCTCATCGCTGACAAAATCATATTTTCCATTATTTGTAGTTATTGAGATGTGTTGTGTACTTGAACAGGAACTCATCCATATGTGAAAACTATGTGTAAACTGCCTAAAAGTGGACAGTTTATTGCAGATAGAATAAAAAACTAAATAAATGAATTGGAAAAATGATTTACGGTTACAATGCTTCACACCCCGAATTATTTTTATTATATATACTTCATCATACACTAATCCTCGAAATCGTAACTTTATTTAGACACGTAAAAATATAATTATAGTATTAATTAAAAAAACAAACTGAAAAAGTATTTCGCGCGAACATAGTATATTTATGTTTATTTCAGTTCAGTGTGAAGTAAGACGTTTTGATACAAATGCTATGTTTTAGATTATTTTTGTTTCCGTGATTAGAAATTAAGCATGATAATGATTTGGTTGTGAAGATCGAGGTTGTAGTAAGGCTGTAGAATAATATGTACACATCGTATATATTACATGTAAATTACTTTCCTCCCTCTGTGGTGTATGCATGATCGATATATTCACTTGGTATTCAAGAGAGCGGCGTCGCCTAGAAACGACACATGTTATTAACCGACAGCAACGCGAGGCACCCCACTTGTATGGTTACAGAGACAGCCAAGTAAACAAACAACATCTACAAGGTGAGGGACTTTTAGAGATTCCGGAGTTCTCACCTACTTAGTACACTTCGACGGATACAGCATAATAGATGCATTCATTTGTCCACATACATACGCACACAATTAAATAGGGCGCGGTTGCTGAACGCTCCAGGTGAATGTATTGTGAATAAAACCCATTGAATTAATTCACAGTTGTCGACCAGGGGGTGCAAATCTGATAACATCGTGATACCATAACTCATAAATATGCACTTGATAATATTATATTATCAGGAGCCAACATCCGGGTATTTTCACTACCTGGCAACCATCACTACTGAGATTAGCGGCCGAAAACTCACAGAAACCTGTATGTTGGGCTTGTTTCTGAGACTTTCCTAACATGTGCAACATACATAAGTTTGGTTGGGTTTGTGTTGTTTTCTCGACTTTAGATGTTTTCACCGACTCTTCGACCGGCGTTCATCAGCAGCTCGCATAGGGAAACATAAGAATGCATGCTACCGTGACTGTGTTGTGCGTCTTTGCAACATACTAGAACGTTCTTTGACGTAGCTCCACTCCCAGGAATACTCAGAACAAACCTTGTTATTAGCAAGACGTCTTTTCCAAGAGATTAGAACCCAAATATTTGTTTGATTGCACTTCCTGAAAATATTATAGTTCAAATATAACTTGAAGAAAGGTGGATTGCCAGACCTGTAAGAGACAATAGATTGGCCTTAGAGGGCAGTATTACAGGTGTATTGTTGAAGTATTCATATAGCAGTGACACCCCCGGGGCGCTGTATAATTTATGACATTTAAACAATATACCGTAATAATCACCCTGTCTAAGGAACTGACAACACAACTCAAACCCGAGGGAAGAGGTGATACTGTACAAGAAGAAGAAGAATTACCAGATTGTGAGATAGTGTGGTGGTGGTAAATTGAGAGGTAACTCATTTCACTTGTATCCCGCTATGACATAATTATTCCAACTCCATAAATTGGTAGATTGGTCTGCTTTTTGAAATATAACAACACTAGATTCAACTGAATGTCGTTTGTGATAAATCCAGTCAGTTAGTGTTACTATAATACAGGTGTTTTGGGATTTAATTCCAAATACTGTCTGACATAGAATTCGCGATACCATTTTTACGCTGCCAACAGGATTACGCCAGTTTCAATGACGACTTTCACTACTAGTTTGAACATTATGAGTATACTCATTACATTTAGTGCGATATAAAATGTATGTAACTTCAACAACAATAGAATATCAAACCGGTTGCCATTGACAACACTTCCTGTTTTCTGATAGTTGAAAGACTGCTACGATGACGCAAACGATAATTGTCGGCCTGTTTTGGATTGAGGTTTCACTAGAGCCTTTAACTACCGTAAGCATACGAGTTGCCGTGCTTTAACAAAGCAATAACGCGAGTTTAGCGAATTTCAAGTGTTTTTGCAACCCCTGCTCTAGCTATGTGTCGTGACTCCGCATGTGAATTACATAACTTCGTTTGTATAGAAGCACAATAGGCCGGAAACCTGTATTGTGAGCTACGTAATACTGATGAAAAGTTGAAGCTCTGTTTTATTTATGTTGTTTGCCAAGACCTCCTCTTTAAAGTTTATAGACTTAGCCATCGATGTACTTAGCTTGTTAACAATAGACTTTGGCCGAAATACGCGTTCTTTACAAAATACCGCCACACATTTTGGAATTGTTCAATAAACGTCTATTTTCATCTCAAATTGAAGGCAATGCGATCTGTTACTGTCCCCGATTCGTATCATACTACCTGACTACCCACTATACCACTGTGACTGTACCCGGTTATGTGAACAGCTTAAGGTTTGCTTAAGGATCGCGAATCATAAATCGCCCGACTTGAGGTGGCCTTGTCTCATGTGTGCGTGCAACAATGGGTCATTCCGTTGCCCAAACAGATCCTATAAATAATAAATAGTTACTGCAATGACAACCCACATATTTAGTTCGGGTAGCACGGTAGTAGCACTGCAGAGAGTGACAAGGAGCGACAGGGGGTAGTAGGAAGTTTATTTATACACATTAAACGCTGAAATGTAACATAACAACAGAATGTTCGATTATTACATATACAATACCCAAATAAAGAAAAAAACACGCTGCATATAAATAAATTTACAAACGGCACCCCATAAAAGACTACACATAAGTTATTTTAAATTTAAGACTACACATAAGTTATTGACCCAGAGCTCTTGATATTCGAAATTGACGCTTTCTGAGTTTTTTGTAAAAAGGTCAAGTAAGTTTGCGCTAATTTCTCACTTAATTAGAAGCCTACTCATAAATGGAAATACCTGGTATCGCAATAAACGTACTCCAAGGCAAAACAAGGGTATTGCTTAAAACAAGTTGCAGGTCACCAGCCTTATTCCGGGAATGAGTATTGTATTCAGTGTTTATTGATTT